CTGAAGTGTTATCAATATTTAATTTAAATAAACATTTAGGTCGAGGCAAGTGACTTTATTGTGGAAGAAAGGTGTCAACATAGATTATATTAATTACATTTCGGTTAAATTAACTTTATAAATAAGGTTAAATTATTTGTTTATTATCATTGCAATTAAGTATTAAAGGTGTGAATCGATCTAGAGATTACAATGTCAAAAAAATAAAATGTCAGGAAAATTATGACTAATTTTACCAAATAATTCATAGGATATAAAATATTATTACCACGTTATATGATCTGGCAATACATAACGCAGTTCCGCATGGAGATGACATTTATAATTCAAGCTCCAACTGCGCCATTTTGAGCACTCCATGTTCCAGAATGTCGGCCAGATATAGAACTGTACTGTAGCCCACGTACTGTGGCGTTGCAGCGTATGTATTTAAACATGTTCCATAGGTCATCTGAACGAAGAACAATAACTAGAAAACAAATCTGTATGCACCACTTTATATTTTTTTTGTGCTTAACTTTTAGTTCTCAAGACCTTTATGTATTTTTATAAGAGGAGTTTCTATTAATCTAAAAGATGACTAACGTAAATCAAACTCTTGTTACTTGTTACGTGCTTCATCTTACTAATATTATGCGAATGTTTAGACGGATGGATGGGTTTTAGAAGGTATCGGACGGGACGGGACGGCTCAACGGATCTTGATGAAATTTGGCCTACAAGTAGAACATAGTCTGAAAGAACACATAGGCTATCGCCTATTGGGGAGTAGCGGGCGACAGCTAGATTAAAAAATATTGACAAATTTAAAAATAAGCATGCATTTAATTGACATATAACCCATTACAAAAGAAGTGATAAGGTCGTTCGTTGTTTATTACTTGGAGTCAATTACCACATGTTTATAAAGCTCGCCTTATTGCTGAGAATTAAAATCAGCAAGCCTTTTCAATGTTATTATGATTCAGGCTATAAATTGGAGTATTTTGCGATATCAGCTTGAGTCAAGGTGTTATTTGGGACAATTAATAATCTTACGAAATATACGCAACGTATTATTTTAATCTTAATATGATGCAATTAGCTATTTGTATATACAAAAAGTAAAGAATAAGAAAAGGATAGAAGACAAAAATACTATTTCTTTTAAGTTCCTTGTAAACAGGAATATAACTTTACGTATCCAGCACCAAAATTAGTTAATTTGCTTTGATACCGAATTCCTTTATATTTTTCCGCATCACGACTTTTCAACGAATCTTTTTGTGATTAAGCTCTTTCATGTTAATTTAAAGTCAAGTACGGGAGCACAGCTCCGGCAGGAAGCCAATAATTGCCCAGACGATGTCCTGAACACTTCGCTGGTTTCGCTTCCGATTACCCCTTGCAATAGGGCCCTTGTCTCGTCGCTCACATCCATAACAAGATTAACTATGTCTGCAGGGACATGTCTGTTCAGCAAATCATCTTATTGCACGCGTAGTAAACTTAGGTCTCCCATTTTTTTGTGGTTTGTTGATTCTTAAATGAACAAAGCAATGATTCATAAACAACCCAAGTTGTTTTTTAACACAAATTTCACGGGATATTTAAGCCGTGTAGATTCTGCCAATGACTAATAGCTGTTAGTACGTCCTACTTATACACAAAAGAATTTTTACAAATAGTAACCTACAAAACGACTAAACCTCAAACTTTGTTAATTGTTGACTTTCAACACAAATACCAAAACATGTAATGGTAGTGGTTTCAGAATAATGTACAAACGTGATAACAAAGACATGTCGGTATGAAAACAATCACATTATATTTTGCAATGCAAAAATTCTCCGCATAATTCAGTATGAGACGCACGTCTATCCGCCATCTTGAGTCCACAGAGTAATAATCACAATTACTCCTTGTCTATTGTTTTGACCACTAGTGTGATTGAACAATTGATAATATGAAACAATAAATTGTTTGCCTATAATATAGATTAGAATCACGACTAAAGAAAAACTTGGAAACTAAGACATAATCATATAAAAAATAAATCTTTCATATGAATGTTCTAGTGCAAAATAGCTCTCATGAACTCAAGGACATATACTTCTGTTTGCAGCATTTTCTTTGTATTTTACACGTTTAACACTGTTTTAAATTACAATGGATATATCTAAACTATGATTCCATTTGTAACAATAAACAATTCATATTTAAATCATAAATGGCTGTAACGATGACTATAATTTCACATATGGCAACACCGCAGTGTCATTGAACCCGTTACTCTAGAATGCAACTTAAAATCTACGAAAACTTTATGGAGCGTCAAGAAGCGCTGAGCCAATTAAGAACTAAAGCATCACGGATGGCTGACGCTCTTACAAACACCCAATTTTTTTATAATCACAAAATCTTCGCAAAGATTTTGAGCGAGAAAATAACTTACGATTTAATTAAGAGTCCAATAAACTCAACGTTAACAACCTACGAAATGAATAAATTAAATAACAGTAAATCCAATTTTCGTTTTAAAATATAGTTTGGATAGTTCCTCTAAAAACTTAAATGAGTAAAAAGATCTTTTTAGATGACTCAAATAGCGAATAAAACATAAATTGACAAATTATTGCGTATTTAAATTAATCAGTACATTTACAACGCAAAAGTAATTGCGTAGGTTATTTTTACTGCGTCTGTTTTGCCGGAGACGTATTATTATTCCGGCGGCCCCCAAATGGCTCTCCCCTCGTCCGGTATCGATCTCCAGTCCTACGCTTAGGGTACCTAGGACCTAACCACCCTCCATATTATGTAGGCGTCATCTATTTATATGTACGTATAAAAGCCTACGGACGTTGCGTAGTTTGCATTCGGTAGTCAGTCACCATATTTTTAAAAGAAAATAAATAAAAATTTAAATGTTGTGAGAGCGTTGATGCAAGTTATATTTTTTCCAAAAAGGAAATAACACAAAATAATCGATTTAAGTGAATTAAGATCAAAATAATTTGGTCCGTGCCGATATACATAAACAACTTTTTTTTATAAAATGCTTTTATATGAAGCATACATATTGATAATTAGCGGACGTTCGCGACTTCATTTAGTAGCCTTTTTGTTCTTCCAGACTATGTTTTACGTGTATGCCAAATTTTATCGAAATCCGTTCTGGAGATACGTACTAACATTCATCCATCTAAACCTTCGCATTTATAATATTAGTAAGATCAAGCATACGATTTGTAAATGTACAAAAATTTAAAAAAATAAAGGAAAGTTTTATTTCATGCAATCGATCAACGAAAGCCCCCGCAGCAGCCCTAATCTACAAACATTAGGGGTGGTACAGTCTACACGCAATCGATTCTCGTATTCGGGAAATGAGTTTGTCTCTCTCTAACAAATGTATAAGAGCGAGACGGAATATCACCTCCCCCTCATCCCAACCCCCTGTCTGAGTAGATTATACTACGTACAATTTATTATAGAACGTTGCTATAGAATATTTATATATACAAAATGGAGACGGAAACCAGCCTAAGTATACGTCGGTTATAATAAAATATATAAATATTATTGTCCGAACAATGCCTATGAATTCTTTGCGTTAATGATTCATAATATAATTCGAAAGAATCGCATATATAATAACAGGAAATTTTAAAATAAAAATGTATGTTATGTTTTTACGTACACCATAGACTACACTTGTCCTTTTATAATACGATTGAACCTATGTCATAGCTCAAGGATAGATCAGACACGACGCACGAAATGTATTTTTTTGTAATCAACCAAATATCCCATTGCAATAAAGGTGAATTAACTCCTTCGAAACGAGATAAATGTGAAAGTAGCGGAATGTTTAATGATTACATATTGCAAAAATTTCATGACTCGTAACTTCCGATTTGATGATGCATGATTAGAGAAAGTACTAAAATCGATGGTCTGTAACAATTCGGTAACATTTCCTCATTCAATTCATCCATATCTGAAGCATTTTGTCTAAAACTGTTTTTTCGTTAAAAAAAAAAACTTTTTTGTTTTAAATTTTGACATTGACAGCAGTTTTGAGATTGAAAGCAGTGTAACAGAAACAGTCCTAAGCAAATAAAAATAGGGTCTGATTGTTTAATGTTTATTTCGAAACGACCGTTTTGATGTGTCAAGCATGTGGTGTTAGTCACATTCTAAATTTAGTCATCCAAGTGATACAGCCGGCGTGCTTAGCCTTTTGTATTTATTTTGTCCGCTTTTAAATTGAAGATTTAAATATAAACAAGAAATAAAATAAATCAAAGAGCCCTTTTCAAAGAATCATTGACTGCTTTCTCCAAAGATTTATTAACTTTGTTTTTCAAAAAGAGATCTTTATAAAAGGTAACTTCGAAATACGGTATAAAAGTTGAATGACACCAGACTACATATTGTAGGAGAATTCGACTAATTATATCTATTAGCATAATGGCTTGCTATCAAACGAACCATAAAGAAACTATTTAAACATAGAACATATTATAAGTAAAAAAAATCGCCTTATTTATCTGTATTCTAGTAATCGAGGGTAGTATTAAAATAGATCTAGGCTACAGATAATAATTCTCGACACGTATTTATTGCGGTTATAATAAAGAAAATAAAAGAAAGCTCCCAGGAATGGAACAATAAAACGCACCGAGTAAATACGTTTATCGCAAACATGTTTTATAAAAAAAGTTGATAGGCATCGATGAAATCATGCGCGCCCCGGCGCCAGAGTCCCGTTAATCATGCGAAAAATATGATTTCCCATTTATAAAACCTTACTAATAATCAAATAACAATCATTTGAATTAATGAAACATATTGACAAATTGTTATTCACACATCAAACTTTTATTCGCCGGTATTTTTAAGGAGTGTCTACATTGACTACTTTCCTGTTACAGTTTAGAAAAAAAAACCTATGTAATGTTCAAGTAATGGTTTTAAGGTAAGATTAATATTTAATAAAAAATAATATAACTTACCTAAGTTTATTATGGAGATTAAAGGGAATAAAACGAGCACTGTGTTCGGCGAACGAAATGCGACTGATGTTCTGGCGCTGGCTGACGGCGCGAGGAACGTAATACGAAATAATGAGTGTCTGTGAACTCGGCTCGAATCGTCGCGTAGCGGGCCGAAGTTGCATGCGGGTGCGGGTATGAGGGTGGCGCGGGTGGAGGAGGGCGGGGCGGTCGGCGCGCCCGCTACATATCTATACCTTTATACAGTAGGGTTGCCACCGCCACCAAAATGTTCCGGGATTACTTAACTTTTCACAGTCTGTCGCTGCCAGGTGGGCCTCGCCCTGTATTACTCAGCGTCTTGGTTATACCAAAATTAGTTAAGTGCTTAATCGCATAAAAAGTACGAAGCAGCCATAAAGTTTGGATGGTACTATACACAAATATAATTCATAATTTTATTCAATTAATTTCATCCTGAATGTCTGCAAGGCGACGAAACTAGTATTTGCAACATAAACTTATGTATACACTTCAATACTTTACAAATAATAAGTGTACTTAAATAAAATACTTATAATATTATTACTTGTGGCAGCCCTAGAAGGCTTAGCTGTACGCATACCGTCCGTCCGCGATGATTCATTTGCGATTCACAATATATTGAAAACAGTATAATAATTATAGAGGAAATATTCTCGACACATTACACCATTGTTCTTTAATTGGATATTATCATTCTAGTCATAGCAATAGCACGTAGAAAAATTATCAAGTTCACTTTCAAAGGCTAAACAAGGAGAAAACGACTTCTCATCGATCAGATTCCCCCTTTGAATCCTTCGATGAAGGGTTGTAAATTGCGACCATAACGTTTAAATAAGCCAGTGATGCTGTAATCCAGTCCTGGACTTTGTAGAGATGTCCTTTGGGTTCCATGGTTGACCTTCAGACAGGGCCGGTTTTAGCATTTCCGGCGCCCTAGGCAAGATTTTAGTGACACCCCCTTTTCTCAGTGTCGGGGGGGAAATGTTACAAAGATAGGACATCTTTTATCCGACTCTGTCACCTGTGGCGCCGCCATAAGCCCATTACTCAGGGCGGTCGCCCTACCCTAACGCCGCTACTGCCTCAGCCTACTACTCAGGGGTGTACCTACGAAATTAGTCAAATTTAGGAATTTTATTCGATTAAACAGAACAAAACTAACGCTGTAATTAGAAACTTTGACACAAAATTATCATTTACTAAAAACTGAAACTCCTATCCACAAACCGCGTCCTGATTGTAGAGCCTTGGTTTTGAATCTTAGTTACATTGACCACGAATAGGCCTTACAATCGTATAATTAGACTGGATTTAGACTAGAATAAATTATATTTATACAATTTATGTATTGCCAGATATTTATGTCATTACATAATTATGATTTTTTTATGTCTACTTATCGCATATTCAGTACATATTTTGTTGGAAAAAAAGCCCAATTGAGAACATTTACATGATTTAGGTACACTTGCTTCATGAATTAGAACAAAACTGGAATTAATTCTTATTGAAACAATAAAGAAAGATTAATGTCTAAATAGCTAACTAAAAATGCTGATAGTTGGTCATTTATGTCACTGACCGATTGTAAATTACGTCAGTCTATAACTTCACAGTAAAGTCAAAACTAACCGGCAACTTAAGAAGGTGACATGGTAGCATCACATATAATTAGCTAGTATTTTGTTATATCCTGTTTTAATATATTGTAAAATACCAATATTGTAATATAAACCATAATTAGAAATCAAGGATTTTTTTATTAAAAAAGCTATTTTAGCGTTAAATTTAACGATTATCCGCTACCACAATTTCCTTAACAACATGTACAAAGTTCACGTCAGGTAATTATATGATGATAAGTTATCGAAATCCAGAATGGACGGTGGCGTTTTTCGTTCGTTAAACTACCAAAAACATTTGTTCATGATTCATGAATACGGTAATTCAAAAATGCACGGCCAGTGGCACACCCGCCTCGCCGCTACGTTCACCATGATCATGAATATCTTAGGACAGGATACGGATGGACTATATATATATATAACGGTGTGGTCGTACACATATACGTAATAGGTAAAAACATTGCTTTATGTCAATGTATCTACAATACGAAAACACGTTTTAAAAGTGCGGGTTGACTTCACACATATCATTGAATTTCTTCGCCGATTTATTTAGGTAGCACAACGAAGTTTTCCTTCACCATTGAATGTCGGGTAAATTTTACATATATTATGCGAATGTTTAGGATGGATGGATGGATATTTGTTTGAAGGTATCTCCAGAATGGCTGAACGGATCTCGATGAAATTTGGCAGACATATAGAACAGCCTTGAAGAAAACATAGGCGACTATATTTTTTTGATGCCGCGCGGAAGGGGTCGCGGGCGACAGCTAGTGTATGCATAACATGTAATTTGAAAATCAAGGGAATCGAACTTGGACGTATCAGTCTTGTCTGGATAAGCGATTAACTACAGCGAGATCTACGCTTAAAAAGTTTCAAAATCTTGAAAGATTGATTTTGAGGTCCTACTTTTTAAACATGAACTGTGTAACTCATTGGGTCTCTGTTTTTTCAACGAGAATAAGCTTACTGTTGTTACTATGCAGTGTACAAACGTTAAGTGTTAGACAACCGTTTTCATTCCATTGTCTGTGAAAACGTACAACAGCAGTTCTTTGTCTCTAAATACTGAAAATGTAACAATGGAAATGTTTTTGTATGTACCTGAAAAAGTTTATTTGGTATACTCCTGTTTTGCTTTTAATCAACTGCGTACATCCTCGTGTCTTTTTTAAATAACACCTAAAAGCCGATTTCTTCATTGAGACCTTCCTTTACCCTTCAGCATAATGAACATATATTTAGTACACTTTTGGCAGAATTTCGTTTGTTTGTTTTCCGTTAGACAAAGATTAAAATGCAACACATTTATCTAACACGTAAACTTTATCCGTAATAATATTTTAAAATTATGTTCCACCTGATTTATTCGATTTTTTCGCGTTCGAATTAAATTCAACGGTCATTACCCACCTGTGGGTCTAATCTTACTTCTCACTAATATTATAAATGCGAATGTATAGATGGATGTTTGTTGAAAGATATCTCCGGAACAGCTGCGTGGAGCTCGCAGAAATTTAGCATAGATGTAGAACATAGTCTAAAAGAACACATCGGCTCCTATTTATTATTAAGTTTGATTTTAATTCCGCGCGAACAGCTTGTTTCATCATATTTCAAAGTTAATATGAAAGCATGGCAATTCGTATTGCGTATGTTTTCATATTGCGTTTCTTTAGAAACGACAAGAATATTTCTTAAATAATTGTCAATTTCTCTACGATGTTAATTAAATGCCATATTATTGGCAGCACGCCATATGTTTATGTTTTAAGGTTTCTGTGCTTCCGCGTGTTTTTATAACGGAAGACCTAAGGAGCGCAGAAGTTTGTAAACTTTCCTCCTTGCATTTGAGGAAACCCTTGGTAATGTTTATTTCATTCCCTAAAAATGTAAAGTATTTTAGTTTCTCCACTGCGATCAAACTGAAGGTTTACAGCGAATACACCTCCACAGAAAACGGTAAGGCCTACCTCATGCTCTCATGCTATAACCATAGATAAAAAAATATTTTGAACAAGAGTTTTAGCATAGCGGAACAATGATATTTCTGATGAATAATACAAGTTTACTTTGGAAAATATATTTATGAAAGACAATGAAAAATATTTTACGTATGACAGATGTACACTTTTTTCATAAACTAAAACCAGACTAAACCAGCCAGTGCACATGTCAGCAGATTACAAACTCCAACACGCCCCCTTTAATCTGCATTATCTACAAGCCCTAAACCTTTTACGCAAAATAAATGATATTGGCAAAGCTTTAGTAAAGATGTCAGCTATCATTAAATCCGTTGACAGATGCCTTAAGGTTAAATATTTTTCTTTCACAATACTACGTACAAAGTGAAATTTAATATTAATATGTTTGCTTCTGTTATGAAATTTAGTATCTTCAGACAAACAAATCGCACCTCTATTGTCAACATGCATCACCACCTTAGCAAGCTCAACCAAACCTAATTCAGTTAATAAACTATTCAAATATATACTCTCTTTCATAGATTCTGCCAGGCTCA